GGCGTCCGTAGCGTAAAAACTCATCTGCGCCGCGTGTTAGGAAATCATATGCTAACATACGAAGAATTCTCGACTTTATTATCTAGAATCGAAGCATGTCTTAACTCAAGACCGATAGCGCCCCTCTCCGATACGCTTGAGGACTACGAGTATCTCACCCCCGGTCACTTTTTGATCGGATCCGCGCTTACTGTAAACCTGGAACCATCCCTGCTCAATATTAACGAGAATCGCTTGTCGAGATGGCAACTCGTCCGACACGTTACTGAGCGGTTTTGGAAATTATGGAGTAACGACTATGTCAATACGTTACAACAACGAGCAAAATGGCGAAAGGTAGAACCGCCGATTGATACCGGGCAACTCGTCCTCCTGCGTAATCCTATGTTACCTCCCTGTAAGTGGGAACTGGGCCGAGTGACGCAATGTCATCCCGGTTCCGACGGCTTCGTACGGGTCGTCACCGTCAAGACGGCCACCTCGGAATTCAAAAGACCGATCGTAAAATTATGCGTTTTACCTATCAATAGTGAGGCGACGAGCAATTAGGCACCTTCGCTGCGTTGCTTTTCATTTATTGTAATTCATTAGACTTAAGCACAAAATTGTCAAGAGGCGAGCGTCATTCCGTCAAGGCGGGCGGCAGATCCACGGTGTTAAATCATATCGAAGAAAAAAAGTCATTCTTCCTTATATCGTTGTATTGTTATTAATTGTGGCGTGCGCTCTTGTCGTTCAATGCTACTGTCGTATCAATTATTTCGGAACTATCGTTCCAAGGCGGGCGGTATGTTCAAGATTGAAACGTTTAATTTAATCGATAAATTTAAACTGTAAATTCAATGACAAACACCTCGATTCTCGAACATTCTGTGCCGAAAATCTCCATAATAGGAGTGTTACTCGCCTCCCCTGCTCCGGCCTCTTCTTTTTGGGGGGAGTGCACTTCGCACTTCCCACGCGGTGGTCCGCTGGGCGGCTGGGCGGCCCGCAGATGGAGCACCTGACCTTGCCCGCGCAATCGCGTGCAAGATGCCCCATCTCGCCGCAGCGGTAGCAGCAGCCACTGAGCCACTGCGCGCTGCTGCAGTGCTGCTGTACGTGGCCCTTCTCCAGGCATTTATAGCACTGGAGGAGCTTCTTCTCCAACAGCTCCGCTGCGGCCCTGGACCATCCAATCTGGATGGTCGGCGCCGCGGACACACGGTTGGCCGCCCTCAGTGG